TTGAAACATGATACAGGTCGGCTTGCATAAAGCAATAATTACAAAATATGCACATTTCTGCGCGTTCTCTCGTTACTATACCCACACGGTTTTTCTTTGTTTTTGTTCAAATATACCTATATCAATTGCGTTTATACATTTTGTTTTTCAGTTAGTTAATTCCAATATTTCCTCTATTTTTTAATTAAATAATTTTCTCAGTTCTAAACGATATATGGTATCATTTCAGTTAACCGACAATAAAATTAATCTCTGGACACAGCATTGGCTTTTTCAGTGAATCAATTTCTTCGTACACGGTTCAGTAGGTGAATTTTGCTATGGAGAGAACTTCTTTAAACTCAGCATCCTCGTGGAAAACTTAAAGGAGCCACCAATTGGCAAAGAAGGGCCAAGCCAATAATCCTGTGATTCGCGTAACGAAAGGACGAGCGTGTCCTGTTGGATTTGGAAAAGACAGGCACAGGTGGAAGCAATTTATCTAAACGGCAGCTTTGTGAGGGCACTCGAACCGAAAGCAGAGTCCATCCGGAATATTACTGGCCTCCGCCGGCGTACCATTACCTTTCTGCGCTTTGATTCTTTTGTGCGTGGCCAGCAGCCCCGACGAGATTTCAACCCTTTCCTACTCCACGATTGCGTGGGCGGGCTTGCAAGCTCCATATTGAAGCCACCGAGAAAGAAATAAAAAGAAGAACGCCGGAAGAGTGGACGTACTTAGTGATCCGTGCTCCCACCGAACGAGAGATGTCTGCCCCAAAGTCCGAAAAGGGAAGAATTCGCTTCGAATCGCATGATTTTCTTCCAGAAGAGACCTCGTGCCCTGTCCCTACTCTTTGCTCGGAAAAAAATCATGTCCGGCTGAGATTTCTTTGACATTTTTCATGCCTTCGAAATCCTCTGCTTTAAATTTCATTTAACACGTTGATTGCCAGGCTAATACTCTTGAAAATTTCTACCGTGTTTAAGTTTTGTTTACAGAATACTGGAAACTGTATGATCAAACATTTATTGTGGTATTTATTTTTGCGTCGTTATCGAAATTCAAGAATTTTATTAAAATTCATTTTCTTTGACGCTTAACTTTCGGTATCAATTTTTTGAGTTATTCAGTGAACGCTCAGTTATGCTCAGCAGGCGTTTCGGAATTTATAAGCCAATCGTCTGTTTCTATCGCTGTAATTTATCAGGGATGATTTATCGAAGTGGAGAATATGACGAGCTCGGTGGACCTCGGTTAAAACTCGCGTCCCTAATTAATTAACAGGCTCCAAGGAGGGACAGGGAATTCCATGGAAGAGGAAGCGGCTAGTGTGCTGAAAGAATTCTGAAACGTCGAAAATCGCGAAATTGGGATTATCCACACGGAGGACGACTGGCATCCGGCATTCCGATGCAGTCGGAGAGAAACATTCCATTGCGAAATACGTCGGGCATGCCAAGCAGAAGTTTTGGTCAGGTTTTAGAAGTCTCCATAGGTGATCCGTCTCCCCATGCATATTCTGATATGAAAATTCCTGCTAGAACCCAGCAAAACAATTGCCTCGGGCACATCACTGATCCAGGAAAATGTAGAATTTAGGTAGATAGAAAAAGATTAAAATGTTTCACTGTCGAATAAAACTTTTGCTTCGTTCCCAATTGTCCAGAGTTACGTAAATGTTGTTTGGAGCCAATAAAGAATTCAATTATTGAATTCATGTATTGTTATTTGAAGGTACAATAGCAACAATGTATACATTCGCTAATTGGATTTTATGTATTGACTTCGATTGAAACATAATATTCAAGAGTTTATATTTCAATGAATTTTGTGGTAACGTTACTCTTGCCTAGAATAACAGATTTTTTTGTGAAAAATCGCAACGCGGCCGCCATTGGTGGATAATGGGACGGAACGAAGTAGAAAATGGCACATCAAAAAGAACTGGGACAAAGGAACCCGTTGTCCACCTAATAAAGCAAAGTGCAAAACAGCACTCACGATATTAGGGGTGGTTCTTGTGTCTGTCCATCGATTCGCCACCCTCTTCTATCATCGACCGTCTTTGCTGGATAGCTTTGGCAAATCATAAAATTACTATAATCTGGGGATTGTTCATTTCTTTAAATATCCATGATGATTTCATTTCAAGTATTCCAAATGCGGCGCCGCACTGGTTCGATATTTATTTGTACTTTAACGAATATTTCCCAGTAGATTTAGGATGGACAGGCTTTAATTCATGTTTTAAAGCGCGATCGTTAATCAATTTAAAGTAAAAGGGAGGCCGCGGATTGGATTAAAAGTCCCGATTAAAAGGGTTGCCTCGAGCTTTTCGGAAATATGAAGCTCGCCTAACTCGATTCGTTTTCGGACCGAGTTCCCTTCCAGGAATTATTATGCCGTGGATAATAAATACAGGCTCAGTAGTATTGGACGGCCATAGTCAGACCACCTAAGGGGTATACGCTGTCCAATGAACTTCGACACACTTTTAACTCACTTTCCACAGAGACGGACCTATCCTACGTCTGTTTTTCATGTTTACTATTTTATATAGTTATACTAGAATTTATCAATTTAATCATTCGGATAAGTATGGTATTAAAGTTGAATTGGATAGCTAACGGTAACGACTGGACGACCAGAGTCGATTAGGAAGCAGAAACAGAGCCCATTCGCGCGCAGACATCCCTGTATCAATCACTCCCTCGTTCCGATATCATTTGGGGAGCCGAAAGGCAGCCAAGGGACCGGCGTCGTCGCGGATTCATAGGATATTCGAACCGGAAGAGGGTGGTTAGTCCTGAGAGACTTTCCAAGGAGGAGAACAAACCTTCCAGCGAATCCAGACCGATTGATATCAAGACGAAAGGCCCCGAAGGCACGGCAAACGCGATGGCGCTGGTGGTTCTTACCCACCCTCTGGAAGCTTCATTCAACCTAGAGGATGCGACGAGTCGAAGCTTCTACGAGCTCTCAGACATTCCTTTACCGAGACATCCACGGGACGTCCTAACATTTTCCCCATTGCACGTCTTCGACAAGGTAAAAATTTGACGCTATCTAGACATCACTTCGTCGTGTTTTATGCTGCAAACATCTACATCTGGAGAGTCTGGTAGAGTAAAATTACCAGTAGACCGGACTAACCTCTTGATACAAACTCTTCCGAAATATCCCGCGTACGAAAAGAACACTACGACGTACGGAGGACGATTAAAAAAAGCTACGAAATACGCAGACAATACGACTGTCAAAAAAGGAGTTCGTGGAGTAAATTCTGGTCGTTTCCACGTGGCAGATTTTCCCCGAATTTCCCTGGCTTGCTGTTACGAGTCAGCGCGGCTCAAATTTCAAGCCCACGAGGCCGTTTCGCGCTTTTTTTCGTGACGCGCCAGCTACGCGGAAAAGTAGAGCGTGTACCTTTTCAAAGTAAAAGCTGAGAACGTACGTAGGCGGCTTTGTTACCGAATCCCTCGTTGCATGTCCCCCATTTTCCGAACGTGCGACCGCATTAACGATCCGCGACGATCCTGCACTTGCAACGCATTATGCACTTTGTTGCGCGCCAAGTTCTGACAAACGCTACGCGCGAACGTCATTAGCGATTCCGCGAGGGTTCCGTTCGGAACACCGTCTCCAGGGGTCGTTATTAGAATCGGTTCAGGCTGCGTCCAATCTTCTCAGACTGTGCCTGCATTCGTCTGTCATTTGCGAACGCGTTCTCGAGATTTCTTTGTTTTATTTGTCTACGTTGTGTAGCAACTGGTTCTCGAGACGAGTGTCTCGCTACGAGGATCCTCCTGAAACGATGAATGCAACTCTGGCCTCAAGTTAAGTTAATTCTGAAGCAAACAAGCCTTAAATCAATGAACTCCCCAGTATTCCAGCCCAGCGGAAGACTGTTACATTACATAGTAGCCAAAATGATAATTTAAAAAAATAACTGTTTCTTTAGTAAAGAGCTTCTGCGTAGGAAAAATCAAAAACCTTTCGACGTGACGGGACTTACGAGGTCCATTCTGTTTTCCATATAGCTAGGAAAATGATTAACGAGGCTACGTGGGTGCAAGTTCTGATGCACCCGGCGCACGTGCAGCCGGTGGCGGAGACGTGCATCATCCGCAGCTTACGAACGCACAGCTGCATCTATTGTGCGCTTAAACTTCCGACATTTTTTCAGCGATCGTTCCTCCACGCGATAGGCAGCAACGTGACACGTGACCGACAATAATAAATATTGAACGTTGTTGAGATTCGAAATGGCCAGCCAACGGTCAATCCCTTTCTCTGCCCTGAAAAACGCATTTGTTTTCCATCCGAAACGCCTGGGAATTTACGAAGGGACGATATACATACGTGCGCGTTCCGAACTAAAATGGCGACAATTTGGTCGCATGCCATGCAGACTGGGCCATTTCGATAGAAATGCCTAAATATCCTTTCAAATGGATGTATACAATTAATTCCTGCGTCTATTATATTTTTTTTTTTTTTTAATCCCTGAGTCTTCTTAATGCTTTTAATTCAGCCTCCTAGTTCAGTCACCAAATTTTTCGGGTCCAAACCCCCTTAACAGACGCAAAGGATTTACGGAGCAGAGGAAGAATGACGCTGCTAGCGGAATCATTTTTCACAAGAGTTGTTCTCTTTGATCCAGCGTATGCCGTGTCCTATTGACGAATTTTTCTGCCGATCGTGGAAGATCAAGTGGGTCAGAGAACGAAGCTTCCGTTCCAGCTACAAAACAGCCCGATTCGATTTCAATGAATCAAGCTAGGTCAACACGACCGTATCTCCCTGAAAGATGGCTTATCGCAGAGATGGTTGACATTTTTACCTGGACTCAAATTTCTAATAACAAATCAAAGATAAACAGCATCTGATCCGTCATTTGTTTGATAAAAATTAGACTTGGAATTATAAAACCTGAATTACTAGATCTTGAATGAGATAGTTTACTGATTTTAAATCGCTACTATGTAAATTATGAAAGACTGTTTCTCTGACTTACCTTCTTGGCGTCATTGTTGTTGTCGGCCGCGTGATGTGGTTGTGGACTCATTGCAGCACCATTGCTGACTGCTCCGCTCTGCGACAGAAGCTCGTCGCTACCCCTCTGCAACAAAAAACAGGGGAACTGAGTTCGAGTGAAAATTTTGAGGATGTCAACATTAAAACGACAAAATTCATCTTTGATACCTAATAGTTACTGAAAGAAAAATAAGCGACCCAATACCTTTCCGCCCCTAGTACAGAGAACCTACACCGCGTCTCTCGAGTAACTTTGAGGATACACCTGATCCACGTAGCTTATTAAAATCCTCCGAGTCCGTAAACGCGTTTAATTCTCGATTCCCTAAGCGAGAGCCACGAGTACCGCGAATCCCTCGCTGAATCGCAGTCTGCTAAGAGGGTGGCTACATACCTCAAAGGAGACAGCGATAAACTGGAACCAGAGGAGGATCTCGATTCGATTCCATGCACCTACTCTCAGTCCCTGCTAACCTTCAGACAGATTCACGCGAGGAACGAATCTAGCTGCGGGTTCTTAGCGAAGAAGCTTTCCTGTATTTATTAGTGCTAGCAAGCACCGTTCATCAGAAACCTCTTTGTCCTTAGATTAGTTTAACCTGCGTTAAACCTGCGGTGGGTTCGTAGCGAAAAAGATTTATCGAAGCAATTGGATACAGTTTAGCGGAAACCTCTTTGGCCCTGGGCTAGGTCTACATCTGACACATTATCTGGTCGCGTCGTTCAATCTGCCTGGGGAATCTCAAGGAAGATCTTTCAAGGAAGAAAATACGGGAGGATAATTCATAACCGTTGGCGTACGGGGAATCCTGGTAGCCACGTCATCCGTCGGAGAGACAGAATGGCAGATCAAAGAGTCCCGCAGGATCATGCTCCGATCTCCTGCGTTTAGGTAAGAAAAGACAGCAACGCTGAAAGGCAAACGCAAAGGGATGCTCCTTCCCTTTGAAGGATATTTATGGCGAGTCGAAATTCTTCGCTGGTATTTGACTGTGACTGATGAGAACTCCTGGCGATTCGTATGAAAAACGTATCCTGTTCCATCTTTGAAATTTCGAACGGCAACAGAACATGCAAGTTCCAATAAAAGTTGGAAAAATGTGCCAGACTGACTGTATTTCTCGCGCGAAATCTGCTCTCTCACCTGCACCACGAAAGTAATCAAAAAACCAAATTGATGGGGTACCCGCCATCTGGAATTTGTAAAGCAAAGGGTCTTTTTCTGCGCCCTTCACTAGAATCTTACCGTGCGTTTCACGTGTCCCCGCACAATTGTCTGACAATCGTCTGGCCAGATGTCTGGAGTCCCCCGGATCGCACACAAGGGGTTCACTCGGTTGACAAACCAATTTCACGTCCGAGTTGCAAGGCGATCCGATGAGTTTCCGTGTAGCAAGGCGACACGCTAGCCCAAAGGGGTCTGCTTCTGCTATTTGCCTCAGGATTCGCACGACTCGCATTAATTGCAAGGTAAACAACGCTCGACGACAATTCGGTCGCTTGACAAGTTGCTCGAGGAAAGGGGTAACTGGGACATTTGGAGACGTTTAGGAGACTCCGAGACGACCACCATGCTTCGGGCCAATGTTGTTCGGTAAATTAAACAACGCAACCTTGATAACATACCTCGTTATCAAGGTTGTCGAATATTACTGCGTGCAAACAGGGTAAACCATAACGTTTAGCTCCGAGCTATTGAACTAAACGACCGAGCTAATGGAAACGTTTATTCCATGGTTGGTGTGGGAAATACAATTAATAATTTGAGGACCATCTATTGGTTGGACCTCTGATTCATCTCTGACCTCACCGCATAAACTGTTCTTCGTTATTATTAAACGTATAGTGCTGTGAATAATTAAAAAATCATTCAGATTTCTGAATATTTCATAAGTCAAAGAAATCATTTATCCAACTGCTGTGCGAAGAAAGAGACTTCTCACTCGAATAAACGAGCATTTAATTCAAACAAATCCGTGGATTGATACGAACGATCCATGTTATCAGGGAATTCGGTTAGAATCTCTCGAGTGAAGGTAAGCGAGCAGCGTTGGCTAAGGATCAGTACAGAGCTGGCAACAAAAGACTGCTGATCGATTCCATGGAAATCTCGCCTGGGTAAAATCCAGACAAGATGATGGATCGTCGTTTCAGGTTCATCCAAACAGCGGCCAACTACAGGCAGGTGATCGTAGATCCGTGAAAGTACTCCTCTGTGAAATCTTTTAGAAGCCTATCGAGCTTGGGGGAGGATTCGAGTATCGGTGAGGCTATACACACGACCCGCTGAAATAATATTAGCTCGAGATAGCCCACGTGATAAGACGGCAGAAGAGAAGCTTCGCAACGCGAAGGTGGTTATCGTCTTCTAAGATGGATGGCTCGAGGTGGATGCGTGTCGTTCCACCAGACAGAGACCTTAACGTTCCTAGTTTCCAAACATTGGAGAACGAACACTTTTGGATTTCAATTTTCATTTCAAGAATTACAAAATGATAAAACTGAAACAATTCCTGGGACAAAGGATTGAGAATTCTCTTTAATTTACCAGCGAGGCTTATCGAGTCTATAATCGAATTCTTTTCAGCGTTATAGCGACCCGTGTTATTTTTACGAGACTCGATTCAATCCTCTGGTTCTCATATCAATCAACAATAAACTGTCCCAAAGTATCAACCCTTCGGTTTACGATAGACCGCCCTAACAAAAACTGCGCTATCCTTGATCCCTGTCAATCAGGATCCCAGGAAAAAAGGTGAAGGGTTGGTACTATTCTCAGGAGTAAATGGATCATGATCCAAGTCGCGAAACGACCTTCGCGTCTCGATATACGTGATTCAGTTAGCAGTGAATCAGTTCAATGATCTGTCTTATCTTTAGTGGATAATCACGCACTCCATCACCCTAAAAGGAAGAAAATGTCAAGTTTTCATAGTTGTTGTTATTTAAAATTAATTTGAAACTCGTTTACTATTTTACTCGTTACTACTAGGAGCAAAGAAATTTTGTGATACCAATTTTGGAGTCTGCAAAAATCAATTGTGATTGAACGGACAAAAAGAAGCAAGTACGATGGTAGAACGAGCTGGCTGGAGGATCCCTGAATGAACCAGCGAGGCAGATAACCGAATGAGGCCAGAAGATTTGTGTCACGCTGTCGTGATTTTCATCGAGCCCCTTCTCCATGGCAAATGACGCGGAAAGAGGGCAGAAATTAAAGCCGCTTGTTAGGGTGAAACGCTTCGACCGATCGTCGGGCTTCGGAGCCACTGAGCCGCGAATGGACGGCGAGCGAGATTCGATATTCGAGACACAAAGAAGAAAGTAGATCGCGTCTGCCTTTCGCGATTCCTGCTGGCCATATTAAATTGGATGAAGTTAAAAAAGAGACGAATTTCCTCCCATCCTTGTCTCTCGTTTCAACAATTTCGAGGACATTAATTGAAGGCGCCTTCAAAGAAATCGAAAAGATCACGAGTGGGTCTGGTTTCTTTTTCTGCGAAGACATAATTGTCCCCCATGTAGCGTTTTTTTCGCCAGGAATTGAAGATGGAAAAGTTTGCTCAAGTGTTTTTGCGTTGCAACTTCATTAGAACTGTAGTGGTCTTGGGAATTCTCAAACTCCGATCCTAACTCTAACCTTAAGTTTCTTACTCCTTACCTTCCACTCTAAACTCTAGGACGCTCGCTAAACTCTCTATGACGTTCAATATCCAAACTTCCCTCACAGAATCTGGATACTTCCACTTTATTTATAATCATAAAAACGTTTCATATCCATCTCTAAAATTGACACAGGTTTATTAAAAAGCCCCGATGTGTAAACATTTAGAATGACGAAAACCCAAGAATATAACCATTTTAAAGAAGTTCTATGCGTAGTAGTCCTTTGCAACCTTTTCCAAGTTTCAATTAGTCGGAAAATAATGAATAACCGAAAATTTAATTAAATGTTGCATACAATTTCACATTGAAAGAACAAAACATACTCTACATTATCTACCTCGCCATTGTACGTAGAATACTCTGTGAAATACATATTCCTTGAAATTCTACAAACCAATTATCGTTCGACAACCCTTCAGTAGAATCTATTGTTACAATTTTTTCATTTAATTTGGAACAAAGTTAAACACAGAAATTCGAGTACACCAATAAATGAAGTTTTCATTCCCTTTTACGTAATTTACTTCGCAACATCAAACTGTTAGTTTACGATATAATAGGACGAACAAACAAAAGCATTTCTACTACAGTTTCCAATTAAACAACTGCTGTTATATATATTATTTTTAAAGGTCATTATTTCCAGAAATACTGGGATTAATTTTGCGAATAGCAATAGCATTATCCCGAGTAAAATGTAGAAGTAGCGATAAAAAAATTAATTGACTTCAGTGTGGTTGTATTACCCTTCTTTGTCGCCATTCGCGCCAGTGAGCAGCATTAAAAAGGAGGGAAAATGGAAACGAAAAGAAGGGTGAGCGCTTCATTTGCGCCCCGATTTTCCTGTGATTCAGTTTCAGCAACAAAGCTACCAACGACGCGTCGCCGGAGCACAAAGTGAGTTTGTCAGTTTTTTCCTCTTTCAAAAAAATAAAAAAAAAAAAAAATTATTTGAAAGAGACGCACAGAGAGGGACTAAAGTACTGCAACGCGAAAAAAGAAAACTGAAACAGACACTTTTTCGCGCGTATCGTTATGCGAGTAGACACGCTGCTCTCCCTCTAGTCATGCGAAAATCCCTCCACGAGTTGAATTAGTATTAGTATTTTTGGAAACACGATATTTTAGTTGCGACGGGGGTGAAAGTACAATTTTGTGCATGAAAGAATTGAAATTGATGTGAAAAAGTGAAGTCGGAATAGAAATAATCTACTTAATGATTATTGAGTTCATTTTCATCGGCAAATCCTCGTCAATCCATTGTCAATAAATACATAAATATGCAGTACGAGTATAAAATTTGCTGAAAATAAGTTGGTTACATAAATCCAGTATGAAAATTCCAACCGAGTTGCTGCATTTCATCAGTAGAATTCAGAGACACGTTTGAGACTCCTAGGACTGCGTCATCAAACAAAA